GTTATATAAAAATATTCAATTTAACACATTTCATAATATATTTATTAAAAAATTATTATTTTTGATATAAAATTATAAATGCAAAAGAACATAAAGTGCAGTCTTGCGGACAATATGGAAGAACTAGTTAAATCAATTATATTTATACTTTATTTTAATAATTAAATTACTTAGATATTGAATCAGAGGTTATTCAAATCATTTTACGGGCTAATGCTATGGTGTGGAGTTTTATTGAGGGTGCCTTTGTAATTTTATAGTTCATAATATGTATTTTTCTTAGTTGATAAAAAATACTAAATATAATTTGTAAAATAGATTATTTTTATTTTTTTATTAAAATATCAAAGTTACAACAATTTTCTCATTATTTTAATAAAATTTAAATACAATACACTGTGCAAAGATGGATTAAAAGATGGATTATTATGTATAATAAAGGTAATTAAATCTTGAAACTTTATCTAGTGAGTCAATAATTTCTATTTTAGAGTCGATAATGAATTAAGTGTCTTGAATTTTGACCCATAAGAGGTATAAATCACCTTAAAATTATTATTCTTTAAACAATTTTCTCTACATGTACTTTATATCATTGTTTTGCTTTAGTTACAAAATTAATAAAAATAATAATTATTGAACTTATCAAGAAACTATTAATGAAAAAATATCATTAAAATAGGAGTAAGAAGTTTATTTTAGAGCGATTCACATGCCTATGGAAAATAGATTTATTGGTATGGCAAGAAATATACATAACATCTCACTCCTAAGATATTACCACTCTATCATAACTTTGAATCTACATTACATATAGAATCACCTAACATAAGAAACCTTTTTTCACTCAAAAATATTTAAAAAATAGAGTAGCTAGGGTAAGAAATTATAGAGGAACTTCACCAGTGAACAAAATAATACACTCTAGTTATGTAACTCTTGTTTTTATAACCTCCATCTATAAATTAGCTATATATAAGAATAAATTGAGAAATTATTAAAAAAAATGTCCTTGAGTAAGACAATTAACTCACAATGATTAACTTAATTAAGTTCTTAATAAAACAATAAATATAATTTAAAAAATATATTATTTTATTGTTTATTATAATACTAAAATTACAATAATAAGTATATTAACCTTCAGAAGAGTATCGTTCTACCCTAAAACGGAGTCATTTAAACTATGAGACAAATCTCAAAATTAACAGAGGAGTAGTTCTCATGAAACGTTATTGCCAAGGTAATACAAGACATAATACTAGCTAACAGACCCTATATATATACATAAAAAATTTTTACCTACGAGACAGTGAGCCAATGCTAAGCTTTTAGCGTGGATAAAAAAAAAAAAACAGTTAACAAATTTAACAAAATTTTAACAAACTTTCATTACTAGCAACTTGTTGGTTCGAGGGAAAAGAATTTGATTTCCTTTAAATAGATCTCAAATTTGAATTTTATAAATAGAAAAATAGATATTGAAAGATTTTCCTCTCTTATGGGACCTGATTTAACTAAACTCTAGATTATTTGGGGTTTAATGTAACTTCTAAATACTAGAGGATAGAGAAAAAAATTATGACAAAATTCATAAATTTTTTATACAATAATTTTTACCTTTTCATAGACAACTTTTCCAACCTCTTTCACAATATAACATAGAAAGTGTGATTGCAAGAAATAGATTAGCTTTTCTAAACTGAAGTCAGTCGCATGAATGGCTTGTAAAGTTTTGAGGTTGGATTTTGAAGTTGACAATCTGATATTTAAGTCAGCCAAATTAAAATATATTGGTTTCAATCCAATACTTTTGGAAAGGAACCTTAAGGAGTATTCATAGGTTTAGTAATAACATCCACGTAGTTTTTGAAGAGTGATGATCTAAATATGACATGATTAATAGAGTAAATATCTTGAAAGTACGAGATGTCTAGTGCAGCTCTCTGCTAACCCTTTTTGCAATTGGTAACCAGTCTTGAAATTAGAGATCCCACTTCAGATGTCCGAGATCAATGACCTCTGACGTATCATTACACAGAAAGTAACTCCTAGTCATGAGCACTACAAAAATACATGCAATTATATATTCCTACGGTCCTACCGATCAAACCATCTACTCGAAATAAAACAGTTGCGCCAACCTGAACCAGCCTCCATCTACTACTCAACTTCCTGAACTATATAATTCAAGCATGCCACGGGACTTAGTTATTCTGCATTAGTACTGCATATAATATCTTCAAACCGCTCTAATTATTCTTATATTATTTTTTTAGTGGTTTGGTATTCTGATATTACTTTTTAAGTGGTTTGGTATAGATGAACATGGTTGAACTGGATGATGATAATTATGAGAGGTGGAGTATTTGCATGAGAAGCTATTTGGTCTCTAAAGATCTTTGGAAAGCTATTGAATTGAGTGAGAGGCCTTCTGGAGTAGATGAAACGGAATGGATTAAAACGGATGCTGCCGCTCTGCATGCAATTCAAATTTCATGCGGAGAAGAGAGTTTTGAAGAGATAAAGCATTTCAATTCAGCCCATTGTGCTTGGAATAAGTTGGCCCATTGTGCTTCGAATAAATTGGCCCAAATGCATAAAAATGAATACGATTCTGCGTCTGAATGTGGAACAGGTCGCTGCCTAAGATATCTTCCTCTTTCTCCCTCTTTTTTTTTCTAATTGAATGAATGAGGCCTGAGGGGAATAGTTAGTTTAATTTGTTTCCTGATTTTATTTTTTAAAATGACCATATATATTCCCGTGTATTATTACTATTTTTTTTTAAAAAAAAGGCTGCATGATTTTCACTTTTTTGACCAGAGATTACAAAGAATATTCAAATAGTCTTTCACCAAATCAGTGTTAACAGGCCAATATTTGACAGAACTTAAAATTAAGTTTAAATTTAACTTTTGCAGTGGAGTTACCTAATACTCAAATCCTAAGTGACCAATCAGAAGAAGAAGAAGGAGAAGAAGGAGAGGAAGGAGAAGAAGGAGAAGAAGAAGGAGAAGAAGGAGAGGAAGGAGAAGAAGGAGAAGAAGGAGAGGAAGGAGAAGAAGGAGAAGAAGGAGAAGAAGAAGGTAGAGAAATAGTAGCAGAAGAAGTGCCATTTTCCTATGTTAATTCATGTTTTTTCCTCTCTCTCTTAAAAGAAATCTTTATGCGGTTCATCTTAATATTAATTGTCCCAAAATTATTTAAAGTTAATCAAGATTAGTTGAATCTTGGCAGCGATACCACACTCGAATAGGACTGGTCCGACTCAAGAATTGGAAGATGCCATTGTGAATGGAAATGTAGCTATTGTGAGGGAACTTATACCACGTGCCAACGATGATGGGATGGTGTCAGCTCTTCAACTTGCGGCCTATCTTGGCCAGACAAAAATTGTCGAAGCATTGCTGGGTTGCATGTCCAGTAATCAGACAGGAAAAAAAAATAAAGTCGACGGCTCTACAGCTCTTTCGCTTGCTGCTTTGGCTGGAAGGACTGAAATTGCAAAATGCTTAGTTGGAAAGAATGAGAATTTGCTCACTATCACTGATGGACATGGCTATATCCCGCTTGTAGCGGCATGTAGTGCAGGGTATAAGGAAGTGGCACGCTACCTCTATTTTGCCACTCCATTCTCTCTCCTTCTCCCTGAAAATGGGGATCAAGGGTACATGTTTCTTGCTACGAGCATCCATCACAAAATATATGGTAAGAGCAAGTAAATGCAATAAAATTTTATGATCATATAAGATGAAAATGATACGTGAATAAATTTTTTTATAATTTTTTATACAATTTTCACATAATCTTGAACATAAAAAAAATTAATTATTAAATAACATGTAAAATTACATGAAAAAATTGTACAAAAAGAACATGTAAAATTACATGAAAAAGTTGTTAAAAAATTTTTATCTTAATTATTTTTCTAAAATGAATAATATATAGTATATAATAACTTCCTTTTTACTCTTTAATATCAGATATTGCATTGCTTGCACTCCATCGTTGTCCAGATATGATGACTAAGGGAACGAAATTGGCTCCATTGATGGAATTGACCCGAACACCGTCGGAATTTTTCACCGGAAGTAAGCTGAGATTTTGGCAACAATGGATCTATTACTGTAAGTATCATTTCTAATTATGAATTTTCATCCAACTTTTTTAATAAATATACTAGGTGCTGAACCTGAGGATATCATTAAAGTCCTTTTTCTCTGAAATCAACGTTAAACATCTTTGGTAACTTTAATATTAAAGGTACTTCACTTTTCTTTTTTGAGAATGTAAATGACATTCATTTAAAATAAAGTTAAACGTTATGTTAAACTCTTGAATTTATCTGAGATTTTTTGTTATACTCTTAAATTTTTGTTGAAATAAATAAACTCTTGAACTTGAAGATTTGAATAATTTAACCCCTCTTTTTTATAACGAATTTAATGTTAGTTTGTGCATTATTTGTGTGGAGCTAATATTAACATGTCATTGGCTATATAGTTGGTATTGACTTTATCCACATAAATAAGACACAAATTGGTGTTAAATCTATTGTAAGGAAGATGGTTAAATTATTCAAATTAATAAATTTAACGGTTTATTTACTTTAATAAAAATTTAAGAATTTAATAAAAAATTTAGAGTAAATTTAAGTACTTAACATAAGTTTTTGTGTAAAAGAAATTCATGAAGGTGCCTCGTAGCCCCAGCAAGTTCGTATAGGTCCACGATTGGTTTTAGTCCTTAGCCGCTAGTTGGAGGGAGGAAAGACCCCCAAGAGTATAAGTGGGCATGGTTTCCGTTTTGGTTGGAAACTCAACTGAGTTGTTAATTAAATTTTTTATTATTGAATTTTAAAAATCATTAATCAAATTGAAAATTTCACGTTTATTTCAGTTTTAGTTAATTTTTTTAAAAATAATCATTTGATTTGGTTTTGGTTTTATATAAGTAAAAAAAAATTATTTTTATATTTTAATATTTTTTTAAAAATTTGTTAAATGTTATTTTATTAATTTTAATCAGTAAAAAATTAATATTTACTTAATTAAAAAAATAATTTGATAGAATGTGATGAGAGAACCTTAATAAATTTAAAAATTATTAAAAATTTATATAAAAAGTTTTTACACTGATTTTTCTTATTATACTCACTCTAGTTATTAAATTTTCGATTTTTCCCATAGGCTTGGGATTATAATGTCATATCAAAAATAAATCAAAGATAGTTGTGGCTTATAAACAAATGTTATACCCTTTACCTTATGAGGATCTTTTAAATGACAAAACTGTAAATTTACAAGTCAAAGTAACAATATCTTAGTCAAATAGTAGTAGTCAATGTGATATTACGAAATTCCTCGAATAAAATACATTTATACTTAGCTCGGAAAAATCATGGCTCTACCACTGGTCCACTTCTACAAGCTTAGAACATTTCTTTTTTGGAGACAATTTTTATTTTTACATATTTTACCCTTAAAAAATAAAAAAAATACCCTTAAAAAAAATTAAAGAGACCATTTTATGATTGGGTGAATAATTAAAATTAAGAGATAATGATAACATTAAAATAGACAAAAAAAAATAATTGGCTCTCTTAAAATATAAAAAAAAACAATTATTATTCTGAAACAAATTCTAAATAAAAAATTTGTTATCTTGAATTTTTTCTTGAAGACTGATTTACTCCTATTGTTGTTTTTAAAGGCTTAAGTGTAAAGAAACCTTCTGTTTCTTCCTCTAATGACTATCAAATTACTATTGATCCCGAAGTCCTGCAGGAAGCCATGGGGCCAGGTACATTCTGCAACGTTGATATGCATGTATCATACTGGTTTACATGACCACACGGTGCGGGGAACGTATCTAACCTTTTTCTTTTAATGAAATGAGCACAAATGGGTTATTGAATTCACTTAAAATTCATAGCAGTATAAAAATTTTAATTAATTGATTTTGTTAAGTCTATGGGTATATTTGATTTTTAAAAAAATAGAAAAAAGAGGAGAAATGAATTTTTTTACTAATTAAATTATAATATTGACCAATCCTTGTTTCTCTCAAACTGAATCAACTCTTTAACGGAGGGAGAGTAAAAGATTGAGGTGAAGAGGGGAGGGCAAAGATTCTTGTACAATCAAGGGCATGTTTGGCATATAACTTAAAATTTGATGGATAGCGGATAGTAAGTAATGAATAACGGTAGCGGTAGCAGTAGTAGATAGCAAGTGGCAACTAATAAATAGTGAAAAATAAATAGCGGATAGTAGATAGTAGATAGTAGATTCAATTAATATAACTGTTTGATTATATAATAATTAGTTATTATTGTTTAATGTTAAATGACTAATGAGAACATATTTAAAAACAATTAAGTGTAATTTTTTAATATTTTTATTATTAAAATTATTAATTTTATAAAAAATAATAAGAAGAAAATAACTAAATAAAATAAATTATAATAGTGTAATCACACACTAATTTTTATTTTTAACAAAGAAAAAATTATATTATTTTTAAATAAAGTACAAAAAAATTAATTTATTTGTCTAATTGACAAAATTTGTTTATTAAACTAATATATATTTTTTATAATCAATTAATGTAAAAATAAAAATATAATAAATATCTAATGTTATTAAAGAAAAAAAAAACAAAGTTGAAACTAATTAGGCAAATACTAACTAAAAATCATAGACAAAAATTAAAAAATTAAAATAGATAAAATTTTCAATAAAATTAAAAAATTTCAATATGTGAGTGGTTTGGTATTAAAAGCAATCTTAGGGAGATTTTTCAATCCATTAGTGGTTTGAACTCTAATCATTATTCGTTAATTTCAAACAACTAAATAAAAAATTTTACCAAAACACCTTATTTGTAGTGATTTTTCAAAATAAATATGTTTACTGAATACTTAATTTTAGTGATTTAGACACAACTACTAACTGTTACCCTCAAATGGGCTTCAAATTTAGATGTCATGTAATTAAACAAAGGATTCTTTTTATCTTGTGTATTTATTCAATAATGATTGGTATATTCATCAATTCAATACACTTTACAACACGTTTATTAAAAAATTAATATTTTTAAATTTGAATTAAAGATAAGAAAACTTTTAATTGTAAATTTTAATGATTGAGAATCAACTGGTGTTGAAGGATATGCTAATTAAATTAAATGATGTACCAATCATTTTTCATATTTATTACACCTTTTCATTTTTAATTTGTATAGAAAAATTAAAAAGTTAATTTTTTTAGGGAATTAAAAAGTTAATTTTTATTTTCAATATCAATGCTACATGAATAATTTTTTTAGGGCAGTTGATAAAATAATAATCACCTTTGTATCTTTCCCATAATAATTAAAGAGAAATATGCGCAATAAATATGTACTTAATATGTGCTTTAAAGACACAAATTAAATTAGAGTATAGATTAGATAAATCCTTAATAAATTATCAAAACTAATAACTAAAATTAAATTTTATACTAAACCCAAGTATAGGTAACTAAAATTAAATTTTTTTAAATTTTTACTTAGTATTGCTAAAAATGGACCAGAACCGAATGGACTCTTCACGTAACTAAACTTACTCTGCCCAGGAAAGTAACAAAACTTCACTTTTTACTAGTAAAAAGAACACTTTATTATTATTACTTTAAATAAAATACAAATCAATACGAGTACACAAATCATAGAGTTCAATCATTAGCACTTGTGGCTTCGGCTGCGTTGAAAGTGCACCATCCCTTAGCGTCTATGTTAAGGGTTTTAGCTGCCAGTGCTGCAGCAATATTATACTTACTCCTCTGTTCCCCAATTTTCCACTGATCAAAAAAAAAAAAAAATAGAGTTCAATCATTAAAGATACTTTAATGACAACGTAATTAACGAACCTAAGTAGTTTAGTTAATGACAACTTATTTTTCGTAAAAATAAGATATTTTAAATTTGATTTACATGATATACATGTTTAGTGAATTAAATATTAAAAAAATTATTTTTTATTATATAACTTAAAATTAAAAAAATACATATAATGTATAAAAAAAGTTAATTAAAAAAATACATAGAAAACTTGTATATACTCTAAAGTTGAATGAAGTCCGCTAAATTTTTAACAATTTAGGCTCTACTTCATACTGATGTAGTTTTCGATTTTTAATTTTAGTTTTTATAACTTTTGTAATTTTAAATAAAAATTACAAAATTCATTCAATTCATATATATGTGATTTTCAACATATTATTATAATTATTAGAGAATTAAAAATAAAAATAATTTTAATATTACTAAATAAGATTTTGTTTAGTATGGTTGTAACTTTTAACTTTTAGTTTTAGTTTTTGAAATTTTAGACCTCAAAACAAATCTCATTTATTTTTATATGTGTTTTTGTAACATATTATCATGATTATTTGGTAAATAAAAAGAAAAAGAATTTTAATGCTATTAAATAAATTTATATTTTTTGTTGTAAAAAAGTAAGTATCAACTTATATTGTAAAGAATTAGATAAAAAAAAGCCTTAAAATTACATCATTTTAATCAAATTCTATTGCAAAAAATTAAAAATCCTAATTTTTAAAATAGGAATGAAACTATTTTAGTTTTTTTACATTATATTTTATTAAACTGATATAATTTTAAAGTATTTTTTTACTTATTTTTTGTAATACAAGCTGATATCCACTAATTGTTTTTTGTTGTTAGTGTTAAAATTTATCTTAAACAAATTGTTAGTTTTTATTTTAGTTTTAGTTTTTAAAAGTTGAAAAATTTATAAAAACTAAAGTTAAAGACCAAAAAACCAAAACAAATGGAGTCTAAGCCTCCATTTTCTATAGTTTGGCTTTGTACTTTTTATATATTTATATATTTAGCAACTATTACTATATTTAGCAATTAAAATTTATTATAAAAATTTGAATTTATTAAATTTCATTTAAATATAGTACTAATTACAAAATATGTAAAAAACAAAAACTTAAAACTGCAATCATATTAAATGGAGTCTAAGTTTATAATTTTAATTTGTTGTCAATGTTAAAATTTATCTTAAATAAATTATTAGTAGTTGAATTTTAATTTTAATTAAAAATAAAAACTACAAGTTTACCAAATAGAGCCTTAATTAACCTTGACAAAGAACACTATTAAGGCATTACTTCTTTACTTTTCAGAATAATGGTTATTTTTTTATATTTTAAAGGAGATAAATCCTGTACACCATATAGATGTATAAATATAAATATAAAATCTGCTACTGCTTACAAACTTAATCTGAGGCTTGGGGTTATCCATCCCTTAAACCATAATCATCCTCTTGTAAGCTCAAAATTCAAGAACATGGATTTGAGGTTATCCATAATCCTTC